GCAAAAGGAAACTGAACGTGTTTTTACTGTTTTCATGGCTTATCAAGAGCACAACTGAAACATAACATCGGAAACGATGTAACAACATAATAAACTTGTTGGGGATGCAGCTTGGGATGTGAGGAGTGAGGGACACGGCTTAGAACGGGCGTGTCGCCTTCTGTCCTGCCAGTGTTGGCAGGACATGAATTAAAATGTCGAACTCGGACTTCATTTTAAGGACATTTCGGCCAGGGGTGTATTTTTGTTTAAGCACCGGATTGACAAAACAGGAGAGTGTGTGCACCAGTCTGCCTTGATCTATGAATTCATGTCCGTGACACTCACAGTATCTGCTGCCCGCAGCTGTTTTATAGAAGGAACACCTCCTTCACTTCATGAAATCTCTGCAGCACCAGGAGGCAGCGGGAGGGTTAACTCAGCCTCTGAGAAGACGAGCGCCTTTCACGCACCGCCTTCACTGTGTTTACCTTCAGAATCATTAGAAAGGCTAAAGAGCGGTGTGGCTGATGTGTTTTAACCACACACACCTCTACACACACACACACACACACACACACACACACACACACACACACACACAGACGCGCGATTTAAACGCAGACTTTTGTTCCTCCATGTTTCGTTGTTATCGTTTCATTGAGCGGACCCGCCCCTTTCTTTTTTCAAACGCTTCCTTTTTTGGATCATCGCTGTAATGATTCGGCTGTACCTTTAGTATTGAATATTAAATGTTGTGAGGAAATCTTTCCACTAATAATTCCAATAAGTATTCCAAAATGTATTCACTTCAGGTTTACGAAAGTAACTGTAATCAGATTACTCGTTTTTCAAATGTAACGCGAGCTGAATACAGTTACTTGATTTTTGTATTCTGATTACGTAACGCCGTTACATGTATTCCGTTACAACCCAACCCTGGATATATATACAGTATACATACACTTAAATACACACATTTAGAAGTAGAAATAATAAAAATGATTGTCCACAGGTTTGAGCCTAGTGGGCAAGATTGCTAAACGGTGAATTGAAAAATAATATAAATTATTTCAACAGTAGGCTACAAATATGTACAGTATAATCAGAGGTAGTAGAATTACTCAGATCTTGTACTTGAGTAAAAGTAGAAGTACCAGAGTGTAGGAATACTCTGTTACAGTAAAAGTCCTGCATTCAAAATGTTACTCAAGTAAAAGTAGAAAAGTATTGGCATCAAAATATATTTAAAGTACCAAAAGTAAAAGTAGTCATTGTGCAGATTGGTCCATTTCAGAATAATATATATGATGTGTTTTATAATGATTGATCATGAAAGTGTTCTCAAAGCTGCAGCTAGTTTGAATGACTTTGTATTCTGCAGGGTAGCTGGTGGATTTACTCCAGGTGGAACTAAAGTCTGATTCAACACTTGATTAGATTTCACATCATTCATCCACATCTGTGAAGTAACTAAAGTATTACATACATGTAGAGGAGTAAAAGTACACGATTTAACTCTGAATTGTAGTGGAGTTAAAGTACAAAGTAGATAAAATGGAAATACTCAAATAAAGTAGGCCTACCTCAACATGTTATTTATGTACAGTACTTGAGTAGTTACTTTACAGTATAATGAGTATTTGTTGTGGAGAAAACTAGTGTTTGGTCATACACTTTTCATAAAATTGATTTTACATTTTACATAAATCCACTTTGGTTATAACATAATGTACTATCTGCAGTTGTAGCCATTAATGCATGTTCTGCACTCCAAAAGGCTTTTGGCAAAAGGCTAAAAACGTTAAAAAGGCCAGATAAATGTTTGATTCAAAGTTTTTTTCTTCTAACAGTTCGGGTCCGTTCCTCTAACCAGCTGTCAGGAACACACAGAGAGGTTTTTTTTGTGCCTTTTGTTCCGTCCTCTATGGAATACGCATCTGTTCTCCGGCCACACACACTGCCTCAGAAAAGGAATTGGAAAGCTGCAGTTAGTCTTCTGCTTTAATTCATTATTTATTTTTTTAATCAATTTGTTCCCTGAGTTTTTTCTACTTGCTTTCCAGTTGATTCCTGAATAGCATAATCTATCTTTTCACAGTGGGCACAACAAAGTCGGGAGGACTCTTTTGAAACTGAAGGTACTCTTTTTTCTGTCCAATAAATCACTATAGAATTTAACTTTACACAAATATTCAGATGGGCTGGTTATTGAGAAAAGGGCGTGGCAAAATGTGCTGAACAGCACCATCTAGAAGGAAAAAGTAACATTTATTTTAGAGACATCATCCCAACAGGAAGTCGGCCATTTTGAATTTAATGTAGTATTTTAAAGAGGACATATCGTAATTTCAGGTTCATATTTGTAGTGTCTCTACTGTGACATGTTTCCATGCTTTAATGTTCAAAAAGCTCTTTATTTTTCTGTGCTGCAGCACCTCTTTTCACCCTCCTGTCTGAAACCAGAGCCCAGTCTGCTCTCATTGGTTAGCTGGCTGGCTCTGTTGTGATTGGTCAACCGCTTAGAGATGTCCCGCCCCTTAGCCTATCACAGACAATGTGTTGGAGCTCTAGCCAATAGAAGCGCAGGTGTTACATAGAGACATACTGTATTAGCATTCAAATATACTTAAAGTACCACAAGTAAAAGTAGTCGTTGTGCAGATTGGTCCATTTCAAAATAATATATATGATATGTTTTATAATGATTGATCATGAAAGTGTTCTCAAAGCTGGTAAAGGTGCAGCTAGTTTGAATGACTTTGTATACTGCAGGGTAGCTTGTGAATTTACTCCAGGTGGAACTAAAGTCTGATTCAACACTTCAATCAATCAATCCACATCTGTAAAGTAACTAAAGGTATTCAATAAAAGTAGTGGATTAAAAGTACAGAACTTACCTCTGAATTGTAGTGGAGTAGAACTTATTTGAGTACAGTACTTGAGTAAATGTACTTAGTTACTTTACACACTGATAGGACTGAGTATACTGACAGCTGAATTGGGGTCTGGTGCTGACCTCTAGTGGAGGATTTGTCTTTTTTTACAGCAGATGAAAAAACTCAACTGTTGAGTATCCATGTGTTATTAATGCACTGCTGTTTTGAGGTCTTTCGGATATCATTACTTGGTGGAGAGGACACTGAGGGTCCGGCTCACCATCCACCACCACGGGGGGCTTTCTTCTCACAATCTGTGAGGACACCCTGGTTTTCCCCAGCTCCTGGGAGAACGACCTCCGTTCTTCTCTGTCCCCTCACTGTGGACGGGACCCTCAGTGTCCTCTCCACTTTCAGAGGAAGGGTCAGAGGAACTCAAAGAAATGCTGGGCTCCAGAGAGCATTCAGTGTCAGACCCCCCCTCGAACCTTGTGTCTTCTTCAGATGAGTCCTGCAGCTCGGCAGGAGGCTACAAGATTACTTCTGAAGTCTCTTCTGCACTGAAATGCTTCTTCATTTGAGTTCCTTCTCTTTGCTCCAGGTCTTTCTCCTTCTCTGCTCACTAAAGAAATAAGCCCTTGGTCAAACTGCATGTTTATCTTTGGCAGCCAGGTGCATAAACACACTAACAGTTGTTTTTGAGTAATCAAGCAGCTCTTCAAAGACACATCAAACACTTCCCTCAAAAGATGGCCTTTTTTCCCCATGAAATGATCCATGCATGCTTACAGATTCTCACAGACACACACACACACACACACACATGGAGAGGGAGGAGAGGTGTGTGCTGGTTGTGCACAGGCCTAAAAAATGGTTGTTCTATCACCTGAGAGAGCACCAGGTCACATGCTGCAGGACCTGCTGGTCTGCTGCTGGAAATGACACACGCACACACACACACACACCACTCTCGGGCCCCCCTGGTAGTCACACGGCTCCATAATATAACTTGCAAAAATGTAAGAATTCCATGCATCGGCCTACAGTGGGAAAATTGTTTAATCTGTTGGAATAGAGTAGAAATATCAAATATCACTACTTTTCTTCTCAAAGAAATGCTGACATTACAAAATGCATGGTTTTATACTGCAATGGCAGTGAGATCTAAAAATGTGGTCTGAATGGAAGTCAATGAGGCATTTTTGAGATAAATGAAATAATTCAAATAATGAAACAGGCATTTAAAGAGTTAAATTCCTGACAATGATTGAATGTTTGGTAGTTTTGAGTACGTTAGAAGTCGTATATGTGATTCATGAAAAAAAAGTAGAAAGAAATATTGATGTATGATTTAATAGCTGTTATTATGGGCGTGTACATTTTTGCCACGAAGGGGTCGAAAGGTTGAAAATTCGAGGAGGGCACAAGGGTTAAATTCGCTTTTGTATTTGCACAAATCTGCTGGTTAATCATACATTCATTTAAAATACTTTGAAGAACCTTTACCTTAGGAATTACATTGATACTAATTACAAATGACTGGGGGAACAAAAAGAGTAGAAGTGGATTTAAAAAACGTTTTGAGTGTACGGTTTAGCGAAGAGAAATGAAAAACTTGTAATTCGGTATCTAACACACTAAAATAAACAAGAACATCCACTTCCTGTCTTACCCTGTATAATAGATTGATGTAAATATACATAATAAAGCTTCATATTAAACAGCTGTATGTGTTCAGGATGCACAGACAATCATTGTAAAAACACTCGGCAGTCCAGAAAGATTTAAAACATTTTATTGGCAGAAAGAGTGTATAAAAGCAATCAAAGCTGTAAAAATATATATTGTTTGATTACAAAAGAATGTCTTTGAAGAAAAGTATAATTAGGCACTTCAATGTCACAGGTTTGAGTACCATATCAGTTATTTATAAAATACATTTAACATAAAATATTTGTATTAATAATCAAACAATTAGTTTAGCTTATAGGAAATGGGCAACTGCTCGTCTGTGTCTGCGTCGCTCAGTTACTTTTTGTGACTTAATCTAAACCAAACCAATAACACTCAAAAAGTGATCAAGATCAAGGCGGCGGTGACCATAGCTTATTTCTGTGTTCTGGTGAAATTACAGTATTTTTTAAAAGGAGTCTGAGGGCTAGGAAAAGAGCACTAAGGTAAAGTGGTAAAAATATAGCGTACACTTAAACTGATATTGACTGGCTTTAATACGTATTGCTACATTACTTTGCGTCCATGCTGATACTCTTGTCTCTTTTTTTAACATGGCAGCGTGCTGATCTCTCATTTACTTACTACGGATAAGTAGTTAACTTAAACCACCCGAATTCAGAAGTACTATCCCTTTAAAGCAAATGTTCAGCTTCTTATTTGTATTTAGTGTCTCTCCTATGACATGTCTCCATGCTTTAATGTTCAAAAAGCTTTTAATTGTTCTCATACTGCCTGTGCTGCAGCACCTCTTTTCACCCTCTGTCTGAAACCAGAGCCCTGTCAGTCTGCTCTGATTGGTTAGCTGGCCGGCTCTGTTGTGATTGATCAACCGCTTAGAGAGGTCCGGCCCCTTAGCCTATGACGTACAATGTGTTGGAGCGCAAGCCAATAGAAGTGTGAGTGTTACGTAGTGATGTCACTATGTTGCAGAAGTAATCAAAGGAGTCCGATAGAGGCTTTTCTTTGGGATTTGAACCGTTTACATGCACACAAACCTATATAAAGCACCTTAGGAAATGGAAAACCCCCAAAATCATAACAAGGCCTCTTTACTGTAAATTAATTCCTGTTGGATGTTACTAAAAACCAGAGATCAGTTCAGTAACAAAACACTGCATCTATCTTTATTTCTTGCATTCAGTACCATCGGGCATATAGTGGTTATGAGGATTAAGACTGTTTTTGGCATTATTATTCTCATTGTATAACATTTATTTAGAGACATTGTGAATCAAAATACATTAAAAAACGGTTTATGGAGTGGCATTGAACGCACCATGGAAACCATAAGCCATGTTAACGGGCACGTTGGCTCTGGCCAGTTCTTCAAATGTCTTTGCATCCAAAACCAGGAGGAACGTTCCTTTATCCTGCAGAGAAAAATGTGTTATTAGTTTCAAACCAAGAGGCTCAACGGCAACACGGACTGTTCAGTAACATGCTGCTCTGTATAGAAGAAAAAAAACATGAAATGTGCAATATTAGAAACTATTTGAACGTATTGCAACAGCGCTGATTGACAGACTGCTGCTGATTAGAGCAAAGTGTACATTTTCCTCTGCATTTGATTTGCTTTTTATCTGCAGTTCATGTCTGTTGCTCTGTCTTTCATGGAGAAGCTCTTTGTGACTACTGCTCTTGAATGTTGCTTTAACAATAAATGTGTTTGCTACTTGATGCGCTTTACAGAGCGGAGGTTAATAATACGAGCTAGCACTACTTGAGTTCAGGACTTTGCCCAACATGCTTTCAGGAAACAACACCTTCAGACGGCTCATGCTTTTTAAATAATAGGATTTAAAATTGTATTTTAATTGAAAGCTTGTTATAAGTAGAACTAACTAACTTGCTGTATATCTTTGCATACCTAAAACCTACAGACATTTCTGCTTTTTTCCCTAAGCGTTAAACTATTCAAATGCATCCTGTGTCAATTGGTCTATGAATATTTCATCCGACTCATGTATATTGTATGATGAACTCTAAACAACTTTTACTCTAAATAAAAAAAGATATACAGTATAAAATGACATAATAACACTGGTGTAACTCGAGAACTGCCACCCTTTTGACAAAATATTTAGCTGTTCGTCATCTGCTTTGTTTTTACTGTATTCTGTGTGATATCAATATGATGGGAATTTACAGCGATTCAATATGTTTGTAGGTTTCCTGGCTATGTTCTCAGACAGAAGGGTGTCGCCCCGACCATTGTCAGGCAGTTATCATATGGATGTTAGGGTTGCAATTAACATGCTGTCTTCCCCCCCACCCTTCTTGGGACTGTAATGTGGATTGCCCAGCTGAATGAATCCTCTTCCTGTGTGACATTGCTTTTCTGTGTAACAGGGTCAGATTCTTGAGCTACATCAGTGGTACAGGTGATCTGGCCTTCCAGCTGGAAATATGATTGATTCTGTTAAATGCTATAACTCTTTATTAAATAACACAACTTTGGTTTAAGCTTGTATATTTGTTCTTTTCTTACCAGAAGGTGATTAAGGGTGGAATTTCCACCACAATCCATTTTCTGCGATATGTCCATGTGAAGCACTTTGAACTGCACTTATTGTATGAAAGGTGCTATACACAAATATAGATTATTATTATTATCTGGGCTACAATTCCTGTACTGAGTCCTACCTGTGAGGGGGTGAGGACCACAGACAGGATGACACCCTCGTCCTCCTCCACAGCGTCAGGTGACGGCACAAACACCGGCTCGGACGGGAAGAACCCCTTCTGGTACCAGACCTGAGGTCACAGACAGGAAAAGAGCATAAGTAAAGGAGCGAGGCGTTCAGGATCCTGATCCCCATGAATGTTCTTTTTCCGCCTCGCTGCTCATTATCCCAGCTATTACAAGGGTATGTTCTACTGTAGAGAAACCAACAACTTGACTCACAATACTGACTTCTAAATGGATTATTGTTGAAGTCCACATTTTGCCTTTGTCTTGGTCAAAAACTGACACCCCTAGAAAAGTGTGTTCTACCTGCAGATCAAATCCATAACAAATATGTTATGATCAACTAAAGTTAGGTACAATTTCAGATGAATAAAAGAGTGAATGTTAGCCTCTGTAAGTCAAGGAATACTAAGAATATTATTTTGTTATGATTTGCATTTGGAATAAAATGTATAACTTTCATTAAGGCATTGAATAAACCGTTTTTCCATGAAGAATTTATTACAATAACTCATTTAAAAGTTGTAGTTTTTAAAATGTGGACACACACACACACACACACACACACACACACACACACACACACACACACACACACACACACACACACACACACACACACACACACACACACACACACACACACACACACACACACACACACACACACACACACACACACACACCTTGAGCGTCTTGTCCTTGAGGTCCATCTTGAGCAGAGAGTCTCCCACCAGGTGTCTGAATCCGCAGCCGTAGAAATATCGGTATTGTCGCGTGTTATATTTCCCGTAGTTGATCTGAGGGAACTCCAGGCCACCGTACTCGTAGAGGTCGTCTCCATGGAGATCCTCGTGTTGGCAAAACACCTGTTGACAAAGAGCGGATCAACTCTATTGTCCCACTGTTTGTAGGATCAACTATTTGCATATCCCCCTTTTACACTTCCTCTTGCCCTCCTGAAAAGTAAACCCTTAACATATGTCTCTGTTAAACACATACAAGACAACAAATTAGAGTTTAAGACTATATGTTTTAAATGATTATATGATCATTTGACACGACAATGTTCATATGGATTTGATATTACCAGTGGTGAAATAAAACAAAGTACATTTACTCAAGTATTGTACTTATAGCCTACTATTTACAACAAGTATGCTGTGACTTGTAATAGAGTATTTCTACATTATAGTATTGTTTCTTCTACTCCAGTAAATGAGCCGAGTACTTTAAAAGCTGTCAGGAAAACAAACTGTTCTTAACAACCCACCTTATCTTTGTTGATCTGGACACAGGTTGCTGTACTGGAGGGCCGTGTGTTCAGGTTCTGGTCTGTCGGGGTCTCACCCGTCAGCTGCAGCGGCAGAACAAAACGCCTCGGGAAGGACCTGCATATTGTGTTGTAGACCTGACAATGACACCACACAGGAATGCAGTGTTTATGCATTTTGGGGAATTTAGGGAGGGTAAAAAAACACAACGGCGACTCTCAGGGTGGGCTTTACCTTTGTTTACTGAACAAAATGGAATGTAATTTGATTTAGCCAGTCAACATTAACGCTTGCGATCATCTGGAACTTTACCGCGTTCAAAAATAAAAAAGTTTGACCCAAAGCCGCTCCCGTAATTGGCACAAGAGACATACATTGCACTGACTGGAGACCACTGGACGTCAGGAAGAACAATCACTAGCTCGTGGTTAAGACAAATGTTCTGCACTCGATGGCTTCAGGTGTGGTGAAGTCACAGGAGGCATTTTGGAGAAGCACAAACAAGTTTCTTGAAGTTGCAGATTGAGTGGGAGATAGCGGAGAGGTTCATTACTGAGAGGACAGATAGTGTGTAGCGCACATTATGAAGAGGGTCATCACAGCGGCATTTTATAAGTGTCGGAAAATTGGCGAACTTCATGCCAATGAATCCGAAATCATGTAATAAAGTAAAAAATAAACTCTGATTTATCTTACCAGTTTGTCATGCATTTCTTAATTACAACACCACATGTTTATTTGTTTTATCCCCCAATACTTGTATTTTAAAAGTGTGATTAATCACAGATAATTTGTTTGTTATCGATTGAAAACATTAGTAGTGTAAATGGAGCAAAGGCATCTGTTTTCAAGTTTCTGGAAGTGGCACAAGAATGACACGGTCTCACAGTGTGATAGCAGCAGAGAGAATACTACAATATGAGCATATTATTGATAAACTGACCTCATCTAATGCTTCTCCTGACTTGCGTAAGTTCTGGATGAGATAGTTGTTGATGGCTCCACCGTCGTCTGCGCAGCACAGGTCGACCATCAGGAACCCGTCCTCCTCGAAGGCGTTGATCTGATGGAAGTTGGACACGGCTTTGGTGTGGTACTTCACCGGGCTAACCTGCGAAACAGAAGTCACTGTTAGATGATCCAGGTTTTAAAAGGTCTCCTATCATACTGTTTTTCATCAATATATTATAGGTCTCAGATAAATACAGAACATGTCTCTGAAGTGTTTGGCTCCAAGCACCAAACAGATCATTGCAGCATTACCCATAATCCCCTCTGTTTCAGCCCTGTTTCAAAAGTGCTGATTCTCTGTCTGTTACTTTAGATGAAAATAAGGAGCCCCTCCCCACGCCCCTCTGAGAGAGATTTGGTTACAAAGAACTCAATGGTGCTCTAGGAGGAGATTCAGGTGATAAGGTGGGGGGGGGGGGGGTTACCTTGGTTGCTGATTGGCTAATGGTTACACAAGCCAAAAAATCGTTATGACATCATAAAGTGGACAAAATCTGATCAGCTCATTTTCAGACAGGTTTTTATAGAAATGGATCAGGACAAAAAGAGAGAGAATCTTTGTTCCTGAAACGTTCAGAGTCTCTTTACACAGAGGGGACACATGTTGATGTAGAAGAGACATGAAGAAGAGGGGACACATGTTGATGTAGAAGAGACATGAAAAAGTGGATTTATTATAATAGGTGACCTTTAAAGAAGTGAGGGGATTGCCCTGCATCTATAATCACAACTCACCTCGCCTGTACGCTTGTCCACGAGATGGAAGACAGTTTCCTGTTTGGGATCCCAGTAGATGCCGTCGCTCAAAGCCTTCCCCCTCAGTTTAGCTGTGACTATCTTCATCAGGTCCATCTTTATTGGCTGCTCGATGAACACCACGTAGTTCTCTGACATGGCTGGAGGCAGGAGAAGGGTGTCATTGGCAGCTTAAATTGAAATAAAAACACCACAGATGAATACTATATCCAGGAGTGCTGTCTCACCAAAGCTGTGGTAGTAGGAGGGATGGGACTTGTTGGCAGGCACAATGGAGCAGAGGACTTTGGCTCCTTGGAGAGTGTCTTTGGAGTCAGACTTCTCAGGAGGAACTCTGATGATGTTGTACAACGCTCCTGATAAATAGGATAAACGGGATAATCAGGGGTAGAAAGCGACAAAGTACATTTACTCAAGTACTCTACTTAAGTACACTTTTGAGGTACTTTACCCGAGTATTTCCATTCTACTTCGTCCCCTAATTTATGTTGTTTTGTCTGCCTGACTGTTTTGTTTTGTTTGTTTTATTCCTGTTTTTCTGTAAAGCGACCTTGGGTCCCCTGAAAGGCGCTATATCAATTTAAGTTATTATTACTTTATTTCAATTTGTAAGCAAATAGTTTACATCTTGTTTCCATGTATTTACTTTGCAGGTTATAATTATCAATATGAGAAATGTCTCCGTGTATTGATATAAATCGGCGCTGCTTTTAACAACAAACCATATGTAAGCATCTGTGCAGTATAATCAAAGCATTATTATTCAATAGAATGCTCATTTTGACGAAAACATGCATTTTCACTGAATCCTTACTATTCAAAACACTTTTGCATAACACCAAACACCATTTTATCTAAATATAACTTTGCTGTTCTTAAACGCAACCCCCAGTTACTTCAATTCAACCAGAATTCTCTAGTTTTGTTCACATTGGAGTTTAGGAAAAGTGATATATATATATATATATATATATATATATATACATATATACACACACATTTTGTGGGTCTTGCATTTCTTTAAGTTGAGTCAACTGGACCTACCTTTGCTTCCATAGGAGTTACCCATATTGTAGGCGGTACCGTCAGGGTCATAGTGGGGGTGAGCAGTAGCTCCATTCACAGCAATGAACTTGCTCCAGTCTACCTACAAAACACAACCGAGCAAAATGGCAAGATGAGGATTAGGGCTGATATAGCTGGACTATAAAGACAGATTATGTATATTTATATATACATGTAAAATAATGACACTGTTATCGTTTTCTATATATGGCTCCATGTTATTACCTTGTCCAATGTTTCTAAGTTTTCCGGGTTCACTCTATGCATGAAGTTTGTCTCCGTGCTGACATAGTAGTCACCTTTGTATTTCACAAAGCTCACACTTGCATTGTCCGTGGAGTCTGTAACAGAGAGAAACACACAGTATTGGCCTTTTCAAGGAACAAGAGTCTTCCTTCCTCAGCAGGAATCTTTTCAGCAGCAGTTCAGCAGGAATGTGAAATGTTCAGTGTGGGTTAAACCCTCTAAGGTTCCCGACTGCAACAGATGTTGTTATGTAATCCTCGTTTAAACAGAGCACTAGAGCTCCTCCCCTGGCCCCATACTGTCAGCAAAACTTCTTCCACTAGATTTACATTGTCTCTTGAGCTTCTTCTGAGACCACCAAGCTGCAGAAAGTGAAGCCCCACTCTCAGACAATTTACTTTATTTATTTATAGAAGGACCATGCATACAAAAACATTAATCTCAGCAAAGAGAAGAGATGCAATATGCCAGATTATAGCTAATAGCTCATTTCCATCTGTGGTCCTCAGACAGGTTCATAACAATCAATAAACAAATAATAACATTGCATGATCTCTATCAGTCAAACAATTTTAAAACCTGATTTAAGTACAGCTCAATAAATTAATACATAGTACACTTGAAATACACTTACATGATCTCGGTCACTCAAATAATTACAAAGCCTGATTTAAATTCAGGTTACGAACATAACACTTAGTACACTTCAAATACACTTAAATAAAATATCTACGATATAGTATGACAATACAGTTCAAATAAATAAAAAATAAATAAAATAAAATAAAAAACTCAGATTACAGTGTCACCCAATCACCCAACAAAACCAACTACAGTCAATCTTCATGAGCCCTCGCCTTTTGTCACAAGTTTTCAATGTTCTCCGTCTCTTCTTATTCAGTGTACTCACCCATCATCTCAAAGCGGGACAGGAAGCGCTGGAAGATGTTTTTACAGGGGTCCGGCAAAGCGAGGGTACCAAATTCTGACATCATGATGCGGTCCCTTTCACTATTCTTCCTGTAGGCCTCGCTGTTCAGGAAGCGACTCATGTAGGTCACCTGGCCTTCTGCGATGGTGAACTTATGCAGCAACGCCATCCCATCAAACCAGTGATTGTAGCTGTGAAGAAATTAACGCTTTAGTCAAACACGTTTAAACACGTTATTTGTTTGTGTTGTTGTGCAGGTGACTCACTGTGTGTTTCCAAATTCAAACTTCCCCGGGCCGTTTCGGAGGAGGTTTCCTTTGACCCATGAAGGAATGGATCCTTGTACCTCAGTGGAGATGGGCTCTGGGGTTTCTTCTACAGAGCACACCAAAGGCTCAATGGTCTCCAGCCCCTTCATCGCGGTGGTAATGCATTTCTCGGCCTTGCCATTGTCAACAGGCTTGGCATCATCTGTCGGAAACACATAAACACTCAGTCATACCCTTATGGTTCTTACCTTGACTACTACAAGAACAATCGACATCTAAACTGATCTACAAACTCGATCATTTAGAGCTAAAGTGACTGCTAGAGTTCAGTTTGTCAGTGGGAGGAATAACTGGGTCAGAGTGGTTTTGTTATCTTTGGCTTCACTAGAGTGTTAGCAAACATCCTAAACAATTAGGAATGTTCCATATGTCAGATCCAGTGTCAGATCTCTAATGTTTGTTGAGCTTTCAGTCACGCAGTACAGGGGGGTATACTACGAAGCAGGATGTTCGCTTAGCCGGCTAAATTCAGGGAAAACTCCGGCTTTCCGGTCCTACGAAGCTGGTTCTCTTTTTAGCAGGCTAGATCTCCATGGTAACTTATGCTTAACGGCTAACCTGGTCGGGACCAGGATAGGTTGCAGGCTAAGAGCTCAACTCAGTGAAAGCACCGCCTGCTGACCAATCAGAGCTCAGTGTGCGGAGTTTAAAGCGATCAAGTCATATTACAAGAGAAAGGAAATACAGAAAAACTGCCATTGCAGGAAAGACGGCCGGCAAAAATCACCGACTGTGTGAACATTAATAGAATATCATCTCCCATCTTCAGAGCAATCTGACTATTATAACATTAGCGTTAAGAAAGCTTACTTAAATATCTGCCACAACATAAGTACACTGAGTGCAGACGTCGATGTGTCCCATTATCATTCATATCACATCATAATGTATCATATCTCCTTATCTGAGTCAGCTGAGCCGTATCTGGCCGTGCAACACAGACAGTGTCACATACTGTATGCAGAAGTATTATTTTAAGCAACACATTAAGTTGACGAAACACTCGAGACAAATGTAATTAAAGTCAAATCGTGTTTTAGACGGGGCAGTGATATCATAAACCTGTTAATGTATGCATTCAAACACTTTTTCTTTTGCCAGCTGTATTCACCTTATAGGTGCAGACTATGTGGCTTTTATCCTGGATAAAGTGTTTAAGTCATGGATGTTTAAAGTTTAACTTATTCATTTTTGACTAGTATTAAAGTTCACTTTTCATTCAGGAAGTATGACGCTGCGCTGTCAGTGCGCTTCTCCATGTTTGTGATTGGTCGAATGCTCCAAATACCACCCCTTTAATGTGAACGCGCACCTAACTAGATAGGACACGGCTGGCTTGAGCGATCCACTTGATAACCAGCGTCGTAGTACAGTTTAGCGAGAGCGCGTATGTTTTGGATTAGGCCAACCGGCTAACTCAAACATATCCAGGTTAGGTTGAACCAGCTTCGTAGTATAGGCCCCAGGTCTAAGGATGCTCCTCCTGTATTGTTTTTTTATTATTATTATTATTATTATTATATTCCTAATCCTATACATGTACAATATCGTAACAAATTAAACAAAAAAAACACATGAAAAAAGGAAATGAGCAAAACAAGGCAAGTGTATGTATAGCACGTCAACACTGGGTAATTCAAAGTGCTTTACAAAAAAACAAAAAAGCAAGAGCAGTAATATATAGTGCAGCGGAATCACACTATAAAATGACATTTAAAAACCATCAAGGAGACTAAAATAAAAATTAAATCAGCTAAAAATAGGATAATACAGGTATAAAACAAAGGACTCGTGAAAATCACAGTGCAAGATATGAAAAGTTATTGGGTAATGGTTGACATATTACCAGACCAACTTCAGCAGAACTACAATAAAGTCAACCCACTGCACTCAACTCAAGAATGGCGGTGTAAAAATAAAAGCCAACCTGTCATTGACCCCCATGAAGAGAAGAGTTATTGTGTAATAATAATAACCTCCTATAGAGGAAGTACCGCAGGCAGTCTGATGTTTACCTGGTTAACATTTCCTGTATTCATTGCCTATTTACAAAATTGCATTGCCTTACGAGCAGTGTGGATACAAATGAAACTCCTCTCGTATCATGTTTCATTTCTACAGACAGAGTATTTTGAAGAACAGTTTGTACAGCCTGATCGCCCATCATCCTGATTTAGATCAACCCGTGATAACGAGGCAGTAACAGCACATGATGTTTTATTATGCATAGGCTACGCAGCAGAACATAGGAATAAGGCTAGGGGGATAACGGTATTTTATTTTTTTATTTAGCCTTTATTTATACAGGTGTAAAATCTCATTGAGACATATATAGATATATACAGTCTATGATTGAGACACAAGGTCTCATTTTCAAGAGAGACCTGTTCAGTGGTAACACTACCACACAAAGTTACAGACAGACAGGACACTAAACACAGAGGCAACACTCAAATACAACATCGTAAAAAAAAAGTAGTCATTGAAATCCATATAGTAGTCAGATATAGCAGGTGCAAACACCCACAGATGATTTCTCCAGCTTTTTTTAAATGAGTTTAAAATCCGTGATGGGTATCAAACTGGTCAGATTAAATTCCTGCTGAAGTGTGTTCCAGGTCGAGGAGGAAGTGTATAATAGTGTATAATGTGGGGCGCCGCGTAACATGCATCAGCGCTGAATCCATCCAAATGTGAATACACAGTTTTCTCTGTATAGTAAACGGGTATTAAATGTAGCAGGCTTACCTGAACTGTCGATATTCACAGGAGGCATATCTTCGTGTATTGTGGATGGATACAACTGCTGCCTTGTGACCGCGTCTTGCTGCACCCACCATATGAATTTAAGTGCATGCAGCAACACTATTACGTAACACCAGATGAGGGGAGGCTGCTTTGCGCATGCGCAACACAATTTCACGTGGAATTCGATTTTCGAGGGCGTGCGGGGATGGTTTATTAGATGTATTAGGAAAGAGCATAACAGACGATATATTTTAAGCATGCAAGAAAGGTGTGCATGTGTTGAGTGTCATGATGTTCGTTTTGTCTGTTTAGTTATGGGTTTATTTTTGAAATGCTGTTTTCCCCGTGTCTGGTCTTCCTTCCTGTGTTTGCCCTCCTGTGTCTGATTGTCTGATTGTGTTCACCTGTTGCCCTTGTGTTTCTGCCTCCCCTGCCCAGCTGTGTCTTGTCCTGTGATTACCCTGCTGCGTATTTAGTCTTGTCATCCCCCGTGCTCCTTGTCCGATCGTCTTCTTTCATGTCCTCCTTGCTAGTGATGGTGAGATGAAGCGTTATGAAGCTTTCCAGCCAATTGGTTCGCAAAAGGGTTCATCTCATGAGGCTTCATCATGGGCTTCATTTGAACACAAACCCCCCTGTTGGTCAAAGTGTGTAAAACAGGCAGATTGGACATCTCAACAGTGTGCTCTATCTCATACCGAGTTCCCATTGAGTAAAGCCTTAGAATAACTCTAAACAACGAACATAACATCACATTTTCATGTTAACAATATCGTATTTATTCCAGTTGAATGATTGTGATTGAAAAACCTAAGGAGGCTGGTAAACATTGCAAAGAGGGATTTGTATTCCTTAATAATATTCATAAACTTAACCATGTTGTAGCCTGAGAAAGGCTAAACCATATCAAAGAATACATTTATTAACAACATTATCTCATTTATGTAGCTTTTATAAACAACAAAAAATACGTATTGTGCAGTCATTGAACCAGGGACCCTGCGGTCATGAGTCAACTGTTTTCCATCTGAGCCACAGCACACACATTAAATCTTCCTGAAAACACTGACACATATGTATTCCTGTATTTATTCATTTATTTGTTCATGTTTTTATTCCTACATTTATGTATGCTTGCATCCATTTATACTTATGACATGTTCCGACCTCTACTATCATGCCATATTTGAATAATATATTGTAGGGCCATTTATAAAACATGTCTGTGAAGTTTTTTTTCAAAATACCAAACGGTTCATGCATTTTAGCCTTGCATCATTTCGCTCTATTTGCTGTATTCCAGCCCTGTTTTTGCAAGGGCTGATTCTGTCATGGGAGCCTGCCTGCAGGCAGCAGTCTCAGGACACCTCCACTCTGAGGACACCTCCACTCTCAGCACAGGAAGTGCATGCACACTAAGAATTACAAAATAAAATCGCCACTATAAGTACAGTGCCACTTTCCGAACAGGAAATGCACGCAAATACAAAATAAAATCGTACTGACACTTATTATATACATACAGTATGTATCAATCAATCAACGTTTATTTATATAGCCCAATATCACAAATGTTACATTTGTCTCAGTGGTCTTCACAGTTTGTACAGAATATCAGTATGACAATACGATACCCTCTGTCCTTAGACCCTCACATCGTACAAGAAAAAACTTCCGGAGAAAACCCACAGTTTAAAGGGAACATGGGAGAAACCTCAGGGAGAGCAACAGAGGAGGGATCCCTCTCCCAGGAAGGAGAGATGTGCAATAGATGCCGTGTGTAATGTACCAAATGTTAATAATATATGTATATAATAAGTGTCATATGTATATATATAAAAATAGGGACACCTTGTATTGTTTACTCTCAGTATAGCACCACTTTCCGAACAGGAAATGCACAAAATACAAAATAAAATCGCACTGACACTTATTATCCATATATATATATATATTAATGCTGTCAAAATGATCGCGTTAACGGCGGTAATTAATTTTTTGAATTAATATTTAACGCATTTAACGCATAAGCAGAATGGCCCGCCCCATACATCCCACCAATGGCAGCGCCAGAGTATGGCTGGGGTAGGCTACAGCCCAGGGGCGGATCTAGAAAAATATTCATGGGGTGGCAAGAGGGTGGCAGGAGAATTTGAGGGGTGGCATCCCCTGGCAGAAGTATATGCTGATTTAATCGCAGTCATATCAATTAATGTTAACTTGGAAAGCCACAATATTGATATTTTAACTCAATAACATAGGTGACATTATTGTGGCACATCAGTAAAGCCATAAATATAAATATATAAGGTGGATGTAATGAATTTTAACTGAATGAGTTGGTTTCACTCTTAGACCAGCAGGGGTACCAAATCTATGCAGACTGCTGCAATAAGTATAATTAACTGTCTCATCGATGTGTGTCTGTATGAATATGATAATATTAACAATCATATCATTCCTATCAGCTGTCAATCACTGTTATGATTCACATATTCAGTGTTATTATTAAATAAACAATATTTTTTGGAGGAGTTAATGATGAATGCTACTCAAGATGCTTGCTCGCCCTCCTTCAAATTTGAAAGACAAGTAATTACTATCATAAATCAAAAGAATCAAAAGAACAGTTCAGCGTCCCACAACTTTACTGCAAACAGTTACAACCTTGACTTTACATCAGAAAGAACAAACATTAAAGAAGTGACTAACTGCATCAGTTAGGGTTAAAAAACGTGTATTCAGCTAAAACATATACATCGCTGCAGTTATTATCCAGTGGAAAGCCCTAACCTACTAGTTAAATCAAAGTGGTTACTCTTTTTTGGCTGGGCAGTGTAATTTTACACACCGTCTTATTTGACTTTCTCAGGACTTGAAACTGTTTTTTGGGGGCCGACCCCCACAAAGAAAAAATATATATTTACACAGGTAAGGTCATCGTCTTAACAGTTTATTATTCTCATCGACTCATCCGTGAGCAGAGCATCAAGTTGGCATGCCTATAACAGCTGAATGTGACGATTACCATCTTGATCAGCAAAACGCCTCACAAACGATTTAAAGCTATGGTGCGTTTTGATTCAATGCTGAGTACAGCCAAACTTGACAGGCTCTTCTCTGTCATTGTAGACTGCAAACAGTGGCGGCGCCAGAGTATTTGTGTTGGGTAATCTGTGGTAGGGCTAACCCATACAGTGGTTGGCTCAAGTCAGTATTTGCAATGTAATTACATACACGCTCCCCTTGACAGTGAAACGCCACGCGTGAGGTTTAGATTATTTCCCTGTCTCAATCCAAATTGAACTGTATCAAATAAAAAGGCACATTTGTCTTGTAGTAAATAAAAAGGGCGACCTGGAGCCAATCCTGCAATTTCCCCACAGGTGAAAGAGTTGACATGCTGAAAACCCAACCCCTGCAGGGGGGTCTGGGGGGATTCTCCCCCAGGAGATCTTTTGAAATACTAACATAAAATACACATTCTGGTACTCTCTTGAGAAGACAAATAAATAAATCTATTACTCCACGACATATTTAAAAAAATGAATGCCATTTTAGTTTGTTGTTACTTTGTTCTGAAAGTTGAACCTGCTGCTCCTCACAGAGAGAAGAGGGAAGAGGCTGTGTGAATTACTTTACATTGTGGATAAGGGTGGATGTGGATAGCCCCCATTGTTCTGTGTGTCAAAATGAAAGACAGCCCACACACCTATCAATCATCAAACCGTGGGGTCTTATTTCATTACGTGTTGATTTCTATCAACACGTAATGTTGTATCGATGTATATAGAGATGTACTACAGCAAGTATTCTCCGTCGGGACTTCCTGCAACAACACAACGCCGTTATCGTGATTCTGATTGGTCAGAAGACATTATCAAAGATGTTCTATTTAGAAGATGATCACTACGTGACAAAAGTTTTCAAAACCGTGTCTTCGGTATTTCCAGACAAGTGGCTACTGAAATCAATCTTACGGAGTGCAATTTACTCCGCGCGAGTTGGCGGACATTATTTTGCTTACTTTAACATCATTGTTCATGGTGGGGCTAAGCCATTTCTTGGTATGGCTGTAGCCTACCCCAGCCATACCCTGACCGCAAATACCTCATTCCTTCTGTCTACTTCAGGAGTGGGGAACCTTTTTCCTCTCAAGGGCCATTTCAATTTTTTCAACATCCTCCGAGGGCCGTACAAATTATTGACCTCTGCTTAAAAATCACAGCCCATTCATTTGGCCTTTCTTTCATTCTGTGCAAAGAAAAAGCAACCTCTTAATCCAGATATCTTGCCATGACTCGCATATGCATGCACGGTTGTGGCATGACCACCAAACAGAAAGATATGGACACAAGATGTGTGCAAATGTAGTTTCCTATCCATGTGGACATGATTTAAGTGGGGGGGACCTAACCTCCTCTAGGGGGGTCCGGGGGGCATGCTCCGGGAAGTTCTGGTGCACTTTGAGAGCAAAATTATATCTATGGATACATCTCTCAACATCCATATGAAACAGAACTGTAGCAGATTTACTTTTTCTTTATGGATATTTTACAAATCACTCTCCTTTTAAACTGTATTCTTGTTTATTAATAACAACTATTTTTTTACTGTCATTTAGTATTTTATACCTGTTTACTTTATTCTCTTGTTTTTTGATAACTATAATGATTATAAAGATGTGCCTTTACCTCACTGGTTGGAGAAAAAGCTTCTTATATTCGTTAGCATAGCTAGCTAACCAGATGCTAATGACAACAAGTTATTGACTGTATGATCAGTATGACAGATGAACAGATCGCCACTGGGCTTTCAGCTAAAGACACAGCCACGCAAAAACTGCGGCATGTGTACGGCTCCTTATGGTTACTGCAATTTGTGAAGTGCCGGAGCCGCGTTCTGGTGCTCTCCGGCAGAACTACACCCCTGTCAGACGAGACATATACCACGTGATGACACGTTAGGCTCGTGTTGTGTTCAAGGACCATGACCGTTGCCAGGAAAAACAGGCACTCGCTTGTTTAATTATTTTGCGGTCTAGATTTATTTATTTTTAAATTACCTCGAGGGCCATAGCAAATGGTCTCGCGGGCCGTATACGGCCCGGGGGCCGGAGGTTCCCCACCCCTGGTCTATTTGGATCCGAAATGCTTCTCGTTTTGCGCTGTCCCCCCGTTCAAAGGAAATCGCCGCCAATCATATTTCCAAGCTCGTGCCAGGGGGGGGGGGGTCTTGTGCTCGCGTCTTGTGCTGCATTCACTTGCACTCGGACATTAGAGTTGTTCTCTCATAAATGTCTGATGAGCCACAACTTTTCTTTCAAAACAAAGCTGCCAACTGGGGTGGCAGCTGGGGTGGCAAGGCATTTTTCTGAGGTGGCAGCTGCCACCCCGTGCCACCCCGTAGAACCACCACCGCAGCCATACCAAGAAATGGCTTAGCCCCACCGTGAACAATTATGTTAAAGTAAGCTAAATAAAGTCCGCCAACTCGCGCGGAGTAAATTGCACAGACAGCAGTTAGTAAGATTGATTTCAGTAGTCACTTGTCTGGAAATACCGAAGAATATAAACGGTTTTGAAAACTTTTGTCACGTAATGATCGTCTTCCCAATAGAACATCTTTGATAATGTCTTCTGGCCAATCAGAATCAAGATAACGGCGTTGTGTTATTGCAGGAAGTGTTGTAGTACATCTATACATCGATACAACATTGTATCTTAATGAAATAAGACCCCACGGTTTGATGATTGATAGGTGTGTGGGCTGTCTTTCATTTTGACACACAGAACAATGTTATAATAAACATAAATAGGCCTACATACTGTGTTAAATGGATATATCCGCCTTCTTTCATTTATCTTTCCATTCCCACAACAATATACATAAAGAAATGGCATATTTTGGACATAGTTTGAATGGTGATTAATCATGATTAATTAATTTTTAAGCTGTGATTAATCTGATTAAAAATTGTAATCGTTTGATAGCCCTAATATTAAAGCAAACAGATATTGTTCTAAACTGTATTAAAGTAAACAGGTATTATCTTGAACTGTATTGAAGTGAACATGTATTATTTGGGACTGTTTTAAAGTAATCCTATATATATAAACCTTCTTACTTACACTCCATGACCATGACCTAGATACCATGCCACACACACATACACTCATTGACCCAGACATCAGCACACACACACACATACACTTCCTCTCACCAGCACACACACATGTTCTTTTCAAGGTTCTTTCTGGGGCCAATATAATCTCAAGCACCAATATATCTGTGTACAATGTTTGATACCAATATATCTGTGTACAATGTTTGATACCAATATATCTGTGTACAATGTTTGATTGTTTGGGAAATAATAGTTTGTGTGAAACCTTCCTTGGGAAATTAAAGGAGTGAACTCAGGTGCAAGAAGGAAGTGAAGTGACTCTCCGCCCCAAATATGTCTATATATACTGTTGTTTATTCATGCAAAATGCCCCCTGTTTCTGACTGGCTGGTCCCGATATCTGTATCGCACGGCAGTGGAGCGGGGAGCCCGGAGTGCTCTATTACAGGGCACTCTGTATTTCGTATTGTGTTTTTTACCATTAAAATCAGATTATTGTTATAATTTTTATGCCGGTGTTTTGAACTCCTTCTTTTATTAATCTGACCAGGCTCATCTAAACGGACGGCGTGGAGCAGAGGTGGGCTTTAAGCCACCACTATTGTGTTTGCTTCTACAAATATATATATATATATTTATTTATTTATATAAATCACGACATCTTGTATTTTAGTTACACCCGCTAGACAACAGTGGAGGGTTCGAGAAACAACCGTGTTTGGGACACTTGGTGGGACCCTTGAGTCAGACGGTGCGTCTTGGTCACGCTTCATATCGGCCGGCCCGGGAAGGAAGAGAAACGCAGAGTGGGGGAAGTCCCCCACCCCAACGCAGCACACCCTCCCGGCCATCAGAGTCGAACCCGCAGTTCGGAGGAACCGACCGCCAGAGCACTGGCACTAGGCCGGGTCGGTGGAGGCCCTCCGATGGTGGGTCCCGTTTGCCATTCGATCAGTAAGAGGAGAGGAGAAAAATGCAATATATGGATGAGTGGGGGGGGGGGGGGGGGGGGGGGGAACGGCTGGACACAGGCCGTGGGGGGACACCCGAGACCGGGCAGTGTCCCCGGTAGAAGGAACCGGGTGAAATAGCCAAAAAAATAAAAATGTATAAAACCGGGGGAAATAGGCACTCGTGAGGCGGGCAGAGTCCCCTGTCAACTCCCGTTACATTCCTCCATGGTGTCATTTGAGCGAAAAATGGCTAAGTCAACTTTTACGAGAACCAGGATTGGGTGGGTCAAAAGGGCTTGACCAAGGCCGACCCAAAGTAGGCCTACATGGTGAGCGGCATAGGTGGCGCGTGAGGCTCAGGTTTGGGAAGGCTAAATAACTTTTTTTACCTGACGCTGCCCGCCTCCGGCGTCTATAGAAAAGAGATCAACTCAGTGTGCGGAGTTTAAATCTCTCAAGTCATATTACAGGATAAAGGAACTGCCATATGCAGAGAAGACGCCGACGTGTCGCACTTATCATTACATCATCAATCAGATCATCGATCATATAATATCATAATATAGCCTATCATATATTTCCTTATCTGAGTCAGCTTCTCCAGCCGTATCTGGCCTTGCAACACTTACAGTGTCACATGTAGGCTATGCAGAAGTATTATTTTAAGCAACACATTATGTTGACGAAACACTCGAGTCAAATGTAATTAAAGTCAGATCCACTCGTGTCTTAGACGGGCAGTGATATCATAAAACTATACGCTTTCAAACACTCGGTAGGCCTAGTTATTTTTTAGCAGTTGTTCTGTATTCACCTTGCAGCAACTCTGTGGCTTGTATCCTGGATTATATGTTTAAATCATGGATGTTTAAAGCTCATATTTGTCTAATATTAGTTTACTTTTCATTAATGAAGTATGACGCTGCACTGTCAGTACACTTGTCCCTGTTTGTGATTGGTCAAATGTAGCTAACCCCGCCCCTTTCACGTGAACGTGCTCTCAGCTGGTGAGAGAAACCCTGGCTTGATTTACCGAGTTGATAACCAGCGTCGTACCGCTTAGCGAGATCTCGTTTGTTTGTTGTTGTTAGTTTGTTTGTTACTCAAACATATCCAGGGTATGTTGAACTGGCTTCGTAGTACAGGGCACAGGTGGCTAGCAGCGCTAATGTCAAAGACACAGACATTATACATTATATTTGTATTTTACCAGGATGCAGTGACACAAATATTTGGGAAGGCTTAGCCTTCCCTAGCCTACAGCACCCGCCGCCCCTGGTGAGCGGACTCATCACCTCCGTGATGAGTCTCCATTGTAATTTGAAAACTTCCATCAGACGAGTCCTTCGGGGGGCGGGGAAAAAACGTGTTCGTCAGAATCGTCACTTCCTGTACTGACAGTGGAGGTGTCCTCACAGTGGAGCCTACACCAGAACTGTCCTGAGAGTGGAGGCCTGCAGGCAGACCCCTCTCGATTCTGTGGCAAATGAGCTGCAGCTGACCACATCCCCCTGCAAAGGAGGGGGGCGAGGCACAAGCGTCATGTTACCATGCTGTTACCATGCTGTTACCATGCTGTTACCATGCCGCGGCAACCTCTCATTCCCCTGATAGGTGGAGAGTTGCCCATATAGGCAGAGCTCCCCGTTTCTGACGTCAGAACAATTTCAAATCTGTATCAGTCTGTATTAGCTCCGTTGCAGCCACGTTTTTAGAGATTTGGTTATGGAGGAAAAGAGAGAGGGTTGTGTTTTCTGACACTTGGTGAGTTCCCTGACACACCGGGGACACATATTCATGTATAAAAGACGTATATAAGTACATTTTGCATGATAGGTATATAAGCTCGCTTTTTGTTCAAAACCCGCTTCTCCTCATCTTGCATTTGGGTCCTGATTTTCCCCAACCCTGACATTGAGTCACTGTTGTATACACATTTTGAAAATAAGAATTTGTTCTTAATTGATTTTCATACATATTTTAACAAGATGTGTTAAGTTTTTTGACCACTGGATAGAAACTGCTGAAGTAGTATTTTTCTTTCTACTATTTCTGACGAGTAATTCTAGCAGAGAAATGTATAAGAATCATAATAGTAAAAACATGTATTAATTAGACAAGGTGTGTGTGTTATCTTTTCTCATGTTCACTTATTTCATTTTTATGGAGGATGAAAAATGAGAATAAATTATTTCAGAAATTCACAATAGCGCTTCAATATATTTTGCTTTTATTTAATTTAAAATGTAAATTAAGAGTTTTAGTTCTGATTAATTACCAACATTTGGTGTTATTTATGTATGTGTTTGTCATACTTTTTTTTAACATTAACATAATTTATTATGTTATTTATAAACACACATTTCTGTATTCTGCATAAGTTTATGCAATTTATGTGAATGTGTGCTTGCTGGCAGGTCAAAGTTCCCTTAACAGCTAGTTATCTGTCCCTATGTGCCCTGTGTGTGTCTTTTCTCTGCAGACTGACGCAGATAATCCTTTGTTGGAGGATTAAAGCCACGTCCTGGAGGAGGAGGGGATCCTATGCGACCTGTATCTGTGTTTTAAAGCTCCTAACACCTTTAAGGTAATGTATGCTCTATTTTCTCAAAGCTGGTTTTACAGCAGGGTGAATATTCCTGTAACACCACAGTGTCATGTCAGCAGATTGTGCCCCATTTGCTATTTGTGCAGTATCTGTAATCAAGGTTTTCCTGAGGCATCTCAAGTAGCTTCAATGCTATTGCTTGTAGTCCTGTAGGCTGATCAGTATGTTGTGCTGGTTTTCAAACATTTACCTTATTATTTACCTACAGTGCAGTAAACTATGTATTGTGACTGAGATTTGGTTAATGTCATTTGATTTGGACAATGGTAAACAGTAACTTCAAGTAGATTTACTCAAGTACTACCAAACAAAATGTCAACATGTTAATGATTAGCAAGACAATGATTACTAGTATGTCCACCTTCTTAGTTTAAGATGCTAACATTGCTGATTTGCATTGAACAAAAGGTTGCTGAACATGATGGTGGTGATTGATAAAAAGTGAGTGGATCAAAACGCTTTAAATGGGATCTTGTTGGGATCATAAATATCTGTATTTTTATTTATTTGTCTTGTGATAAAAACACAGGTGGGTAGTACATTTAAAACGTCATTTAGTACATATAGTACATCATCATATAATTGCCAAAGTTGTCAGCTCAGTGTTGAAAATAGTTTGAATAAAGAAAGTTCAAAGTTCAAAACAACAGTGAAAAGTCATTATACAGCAACATTGTGCAACTAAGACGACATCGTGTGAGGAAATCAACTGAAGCAAGCACTACTATTCTTATTTTTTGTGCATGTCAGAAAACTGATATATCCATATGTTTTTCAACAGGAGACCATTCCCCTGCTGACTGCAATGCCTCCCACAAAGAGCTCCATTCACTGGACTTTATCAGAGGTGTTTGGGCAGCGGAGGGTTTTGGGGTTCGGAGCTCTGCTGGCATGGCTCGTCCTCTTCCACCTGCTGGTCAACGTCTGGCTGCTCTGCGTTTTCACCAGTCTCTTGGTGGTCCTCGGCGGTTGGCTGGGGTCCCGCGTCATACTGGACACAAACAGCTTTCTCCATCTGGAACACTTTTTGCCTCTTGGCAGTATGAACCCACCTCTGTACTCACCTGAACATGAGTGGAGGTTGAACAATGAGATCCACAATGCCGTCCACAAAGCGGTGCGTGACTTTGTGTCTTCGTGGTATCGAACTCTGCTGCCAGAGGTGGAGGGGGAGTTTGAACGTGCGGTGCGTAACTCGATGCTGGAGTCAGTGATGGAACTGAAGGAGCGTGCGCGGCGAGTTGACAGAAAAGCTCTAGTTCAACGGCTGCTGGAGCTTTATGGTTGTCACCTGCAGAGCTACATGGCGGCGAGACACATACAGTCGACGCAGAAGGAGAGCCTGAATCTGTGGCGGCTCTACAGTGAAGTGGATGCCCCTCACCCAGCCGTGAGCAGTGCATCTGCTGAGCTCAGCTACTCCAGGGCCTTAGTTAACCTCGTCTTAATGTACTGGTTCCATACCCTCAGATGGAAACCAGGACCGGCGGTTACGTGGTTACAGAACTCATCACCTGTAACGTGCTGCTGCCGCTCATAAACAGGGTGTCCGATCCTGACTGGCTCAACCAGACCATTGTCAACGTCATCACCAAGTCCAGAGAACCACAGGAAATCAATATGGATGAGTTCCCAGCTGCACCTGGACTATACAGATGTGATGTTCAGAATGAGTCCTGGATCACCTGCAAGTCTCTGTCATCGTCTGATCCAGCCAGCTTCACCAGCAGAAGCTCCTCTGATCAGGACGATCCGCAGAGCACCATGTCTGAGAGAGACTCCTCCCAGAGCAGCATGGTGAGCCTGATGTCTGCGGGGAATGTGGAAGGTTGTCCCGCAGGTTTGCCCTCACCGTGCAAAGTGAACTGCTGTTCCCTCGCGCCCGGCCATTTCTCCCCCTCGATAAAGTCCAAAAGGATTTTATATGACTCCTTAATCCAGACGGACTCAGAAGACGACCTGACAGGAGGCTTTTGTGAATGTGGCCCTCCAACAAACTTCTGCAACGTGATGAATTTTAAGGATGATGAGGCGTTCGGTTGCTTTGGTCCACTGAAGAACCTTGGGGCGAAGGTGGTGTTGCCCGAGGAATCCCAGTGGCCAGCAGGAATAGCCCTAGGGAAACCCCAGCCATGTTCTCCAAAAATATTCTCTCTGACCCCCTGCGACTTTGACACCACGAACACCCAAGCTGCACCAATGAACATCCAGAACGTGCAGATTTCTGGCACTATCAATGCAGTAGAGCAGCGCGGCACAAGCATACATCCCTATACTCTTTACACTGTAAAGGTAATGCCACCTACTACTTGGCAGATATATAAACTATATGATGTATAGATATATCAGCCTACTCACTGTAGTGCTCCTTATCATCTGTTTCCTCTGAATAACCTATCCCTATCATTTGTGTCGTCCACTTTAAGTGTCTTCTCCATGATGGTATGTTTATATTTTTATCATGTTCTGTTGCCTTGAACTCTTAGAATATTTAACTAATTGTACGGTGTCCTTGGGTGTCATGAAAGGCGCCTTAAATAAAATGTATTATTATAAACAGTCAACATATTGATTATCACACTTTAACCTCTACTTCCTGTTTTACAGTTTGAGAAAATGGGCGAAACGGAAAACGGTGGCTCTCCACAACCGGCTTCCTGTCACACTGTCAACCGGAGATATAGCGAGTTCCTCAACTTGCAAACACGTCTGGAGGAGAAACCCGAAGTCAAGAAAGTTATCAAGAGTAAGAAATGATTGTCTGCTTTAATTGACCATTGGATTTTAACGTACCAAGACACATGCACCATGACAAATCAATGTAATGGATTTCAGATGTCAAAGGTCCAAAGAAAATGTTCCCTGACCTCCCGTTTGGCAATGCAGAGTGCGACAAGGTGGAAGCCCGTAAAAGCCAGCTGGACACATTCCTGAAAGTAGGTTCTCACAACGTTTATGATGTGCTTGCTGTGATTCTGTCATTTTAAAGATTTTTGTTTTCTCCTAGCAATTAAGCTGTATCCCTGAGACATCCAACAGTGAGGACATGCAGGAGTTCCTGGCTCTAAACTCAGACGCCTGCACATATTTTGAAGAAAGAAGAAGACCTTTAGTCAAGTCAAGGATTGATAAGGTGAGAAAGAATCTAAATGCTGTATATCCGGAGAGGACAGAGAGTGATTGTAAGAAATGTAGTTTGGCATTTCCCTGACAAAGTAAGATTAAAAAGTGAGAACAATCTACAAGGACATTTGGAGAGGATAGACATCTCTCATGGCTGTTTTTCATTAACTGAGAAAAGGCTTGCATCTGCTCCGTTTTTCGGATCCGCTGCAAAACGTAATGGGTTCTTCAGTTCTTAAAGGTCCCATGTCATGCATTTCCGGTTATTACCCGTCCCCCTGTGTGTTATGAAGGTTTTTATGCATGTAAACGGTCTGCAAAGTCACAAACCCTCAAAGTACACCCTGTAGTTGCTAGTGACTTATCCGACCGGCCCACATCGTCCGACCGGCCCACTTCAGTACCGGCCCATCGGGATTCGTCACGAACGTCCCGATGGCCAGTCCGCCCCTGGCCACTGGACTCATAGGGAGGGGGGGGCAGGAGCTCCAACAAGCCGTTTAGGACAGAGAGTGAATACACATATTATGCAGAGATGCTGTGTGAGAAACCAATGAGATCTTGGAAAATTGCACAATGTAAATCTATTTGAGTAGACCTCAACAATGGAATTATGATCAGTAGAAATGGCCATGACATGGGACCTTTAAGTTTCATAACAAAAAGCCCAATGGTTTTTCTGTAATCCTGGGAAGGGTCAAACATCTAACCAAAAAGTGTCTTTCCTGCCCTGAGTACGATTTAATTAATAGTTGAACATGTTTATATATGTATTAAGCTTAAGATAGCAGTTTCTTAGCCCATTTTAGCATAAAGCACGTTGAAATGCTAGCTCAGTCCAACCGTAACTGAATCTGCCTACCATCATTTCTCTTCAGCTTGCTGATCAACTCAAATTCAATTCAAATTCAAAGGTTTTATTGTCATATGCACATAAGCTACAGTGTAGACATGGCAATGAAATTCTTCTGACCCTTGATGCAATGGGAATGATGATTTATGTACAGTCCTTTGAGAAATGTAATTATCTCCTGTCTTCTCTTCTCCAACTTGGTTTCAATTGAAGATGATGGAAAATGCTTTGGACACCTTGAAGACAGCTTTTCCTCATCCTGAGCCTCTCAGCCCAACGGAGGACCTTGAGGGAGATTCTGATGGAAAAACAATGGAGAGTAGAAAGTACAGGTGAGCGGTGTATAAAGGCTTTTGGAGAACATAACACAGGGATTTGTCAAGATAAATAGCAAATATTGTTGAAAAATATTTTTTTAAATGTATTTCAATTTCCATGTTTGTGTTTTTCACACAGCAGGAGGCATATGTTCCCAAGCAAAATTTCACCAGTTCTCAATATACCTGACCTGTACCCTAAAGTGTCGTACTGCTTTAGTGAAGGCAGCGCTGTAAGTCACTCTATTCACCACCTGTGATTGATAAATGCGAGTTTAAAACAAAAACAGCTGAATGTTGTTTTGCTTCTCACAGGTCCTCAATGGTATGTCCCTGTCTGGCCTGGAGAACTTTGTCCAAGAGCAGGAGAGACTTTTATGTGGTTTGAATGGCAAAGAGGCAGCCAGACAGAAATGTGAGAAGCCTGGGAAAGACAGAAAGACTTCTTGGAAAACTCATGGCACAGGTTGATATTCAAACAGCAGTATTTGTTTTTATTTGTATTTTTGTATTTAATTATATATGTTGCATCGTGGGAGGAGCTCGGGTCATAAGAGTTTCAATGCCATTTCTACACTGTAGCTTATGTGCATATGACAATAAAACCTTTGAATCTATGTCCGTAGAGAAACATCTTATTAATTGCTGTCTTAGAAAAGCAACGTGCAGTAACTTAGCTTGACCACTTGGAAGCAGCAAAACTCCACTGTGTGTTTAGACTTTAGAGAGTTCCTAGAAGTCAGAATATTCCTGAGTCTGTACAATATGTCATATATGATTGTAGGTGTTCTCATTATTATGTGTTACAGACACGGCTGTGGCAGACGTTGCTTTGAACATTTTGTGTCTGCTGATGAAGGACCAGTGGAGCTGGCTGTGCACTGAAAACATACAGAAGACCATCAGACTGCTGTTCGGCACCTTCATTGAGAGGTACGACTTTCTCTCCGCTTCTGTATACCTCTGACAGGTGATTTTCCTTTTTGAGTAAAAGTACATTTTACTCAAAAATAAAAATGTGAGGCACTTTAAGATTTTAATTTCATGCTACTCAAAGCAGAACCCAAATGTTGTTTAATTTCCACTACCGTATTATTAACATTATTTTAAAGATTCAGATTCAAAATAATAATAAAACATTATATACAAATATTTAAGGTTAAGATAAAACTTTATTGATTTCTTATTGGAATCTACAAGCTGCCCAGCAACATATAAAGTAGTTAAAATAAGGTCTAACTTCATGAGCTACAACATTTGAGTGATGAGCACATTATTGCATAAATGATTAGAATCTATAACATAGATTATTTCCCCTTTTATACAGCTAAACATCCTGATGCTGGGTCCTCTTCTGGTAGACAAAGCACTAAAAGTGGTTTGTTGCACACGACTGTTGCATGAAATTCTCTCAAATTTCCTTTAAAAATAAAACTCTCTGTTTTAAATGCAATGTTTATGCTTCACTGGGAATCTAGTATTACCACTGGGATTGTTACTACCACACACTCGGTGGGAACTGTGCTTTTGTAATCTCTAGTGTCCTGCTGTCATTATCTTATTATACTGGCCTCCTTTTTTGGACTTTCCATTACCTCTGGGAGTGTCAGGGTTCACTAAGCATGTCAGTAAATAATGTCCATGCTTCTGCTATGGTTTATAGATTTAAGAATGCATGTTTGTGTTGCTTCCCCCCCCCCCCCTCTTGTGTGCATGTCATTTTTTTCTCCTAATCAATCATGTAAAGTTAATTGAATTGCTTGTTTGTCTTAAAGGTCACCTATTATGCAAAATCCACTTCTTCATGTCTCTTCTACATCAACATGTGTCCCCTCCAGAGGTCGCGTTAACCGAATATTTTCCGTCTATGACGGATTTTTTTTAACAATGACGAAAATATCTGAAAGCAGTCTGTCATTTTGACGGATTAGAACAAACTCGGAACAGCGCCAAAGTTTCCCCGCAGCGAGGCTCCGGTGTTAAGCATGCCTGCCAAAAAAGAAATGATACCGTTTCCAAACCCAACTTTGCCGTACAAATCATTGAAATGTCTGTGAGTTTTGGCTTTACGCTGTGCGCACACCCGCGAGGTGTAGTAGGCATGCATAACACGGCGCTAACAGTTCAAAAGCTCGCGCCCCGCCCCCCGTTGACAGTCCACGACCGTACTACCCCCCCCCCCCCCCCCCCCCCCCCCCCCCCCCGGTTGACAGTTCTCTCTCTCCCCCCCCCCCCAACCCAGAGTGTAAGGCCGACGGGTAATGCTGAATTTTGACGGAAATGTTACGATCCTGTCCGTCAAAATGACGGGCAGTGAAAAAGTCTAGCGCAACCTCTGGTCCCCTCTGTGTGAAGAGATTCTGAAAGTTTCAGGAACAAAGATTTTCTCTCTTTTTGTCCTGATCCATTTCTATAAAAACCTGTCTGAAAATGATCTGATCAGATTTTGGCCACTTTATGACGTCATAACGTTTTTTTGGCTTGTGTAACCATTAGCCAATCAGCAACCAAGGTCCTCCTAGAGCACCACTGTGTTCTCTTTAACCAAATCTCTCTCAGAGGGGCGTGGGGAGTGGCTCCTTATTTTCATCTAAAGTAACAGACAGAGAATCAGCACTTTTGAAACAGGCCTGAAACAGAGGGGATTATGGGTAATGCTGCAATGATCTGTGTTTGGAGCCAAACACTTCAGTTACATGTTTTGTATATCTGAGAGCTATAATATATTGATGAAAAACAGTATAATAGGGGAGCTTTAAACACTGGCTGATTACTAGTAGGGAACTCTCATGCAGGAAAGAACACATTGCATTAAACCACTCTTTCTGTCTCAGATGGTTGGATGTCGGTGTTGCCCACCTCACCAGTGCCCCCTGTTGGGTCATTTACCTACAAGTCCTGCAGGAAGCTGTTTGGCCCGGCGGCACGCTGCCTGCTCAACACTGGCCGGATCGCAGTCCTGCAGAAAGAGAAGAAACCAAGGAGCAATGTTTGGACTGTCTGATGCAGCTGATCCCAGGTACTTAAGCTATTTGAGTTGGATTAGAGCCGTGTGAATACTTCTCTAACCCTCTGGAGTCCATCCATCCATCTTCTCCCGCTTATCCGTGGTCGGGTCGCGGGGGTAGCAGTTCCAGCAGAGAGCCCCAAACTTTCTTTTCCCTCTGGAGTTTAAGGGTATTTTCTCGATTTGTAGATGTCTCCTTAAATCTCCTTTCAAATGTACTTGTTATAACATGGCACCCCATGAGTTACATACCAAAATATTCAAGAAAATATGTGGTCTTGCTAGAAATGCAAGTCACTCACCTTAGAGCACTGTGTGATGAGATAATTAGATCTAAAGCTGAACATTTGACATCTGATATTTGGACATTCATTTTCAGGTTAATATTTGTATTTGCAATGATGTCACTATGTTACAGAAGTAAATAAAGGAGTCCAATGAAGGCGTCTCAGGTATGCCGGAGAGAAACTCCCTCTGGAAGGAGCTTTGGGATTTTAGCCTTTGCGACCATTGACATGCACACAAACCTATTCAACACACAACAGGAAAACCCCAAAAGCACAATAGGGCCCCCTTTAATAGGTGTTGTCCTTTTTGATTTGTGTCGTTGTTTGTGCCCAAGCAGAGCTCATCACTGATATTCTGGGAAGTGAGAAGTACAGACTGAGCTTGGAGACCATGCTGGAGTCTGTACAGGATCATCAGATAAACAAGTGAGTCAACAAACAAGCTGTCGGGTAAACATGTGTATGACACTGCTGTTTAAAGACAGCTACACTCGGGAGCTGTAAAGTGTAAACAGGGCAGGAATGTCTCTCAAAGCTGTAATACTCTAAACTGTATAACTACAAGGGTTGTAACCATAGACTGTATATATAAAGGTTGTAACGCAAACCTACTATCTGTATCTGTTTACGCCTTAAAAATATCTGGATTTGAATCTTGCCGATTGTTGGCGTGACCTTCACCAGAAGTTGTTGGTAATGGTCTAATCTCTTTCATTCTTTTGCCATGTATACTCATCATACGTGTGTTTAGCTGCCAACAATAGCATCATATTTTAACCATGTACCTGAAATAGTTAAATACGAAATACATATTTAAAATAAAAGGTAAACCTAAACTGAGTCTAAATGTAAGATATGTAATTGTCAATGGTCCTGTTTTACCTTAATATTGGTAAAATGTCACGAGTCTCTTTAAAAAAAGGTTTTGATTTATAATAGAACGAGGCACAAATAAAGTGCTACAGCGTATTGGGCACAAACAAATAATAATACAAAAATAATAATTCAAATCTAGCTTAAAATGACAAGGAAAAAAACATCTATCTTGGCCTTTAAGTATGCACTTTTAAGACTCTCCCTTTTAAGACTCTCCCTTTTAAGACTCTCGTGCCATCCAACACACAACAACAAATACAATATTGATTATATATATACCATGCATTCCTATCCCCTATTATCCATATAAGCGTCTGTGTTAATAACAGTCTGTGTGATTGTACGCAGGCATCTGATCTACTGCGTGTGCGACCTGCTGCTGGAGTTTCTGATCCCAGAGTCGTGTGACGAGGCCTTTCAGGGGTCTCTGCTGCACAAAGACCCAGAAAGAGACCATCCTCACACATGATCAGCACATGATAACACAGTGATGGATACCGTGCACAACATGTGTCAAAATGGTTTTTTAAGTCTTGAATTTCCTGTGGGCGGGGCTAACCTTTGACAGGTGCGTGTGATAGGTATGCTGTTCTCACCTGTTAAGGGCCTGCTAGCTGGCAACGTCAGAAATATTCTGAAATGAAAACAAAGACAGCTAGCTTTTAATATCCAGGAAAGATATCCAGAGCATGGTACTGAAAAAAAAACCAGGAGGGGAAAGAAGTACGCCACTCAAAAATGGCTAAATTAATTTAAATTAATTAAATGTAATGCAGCAACTTTTCCCATCATGGATACTTCAGTTACCCCCAGTATATTTAACCGATTAAATGGATATAAATGAATTCACGCCTAATGAACAGTGGAGACACTTCTCAGTGCATCATTGAACATCTTGATTTTACCATCACTGGAACAACAATTGCAACAATTCTGTAGGCCACATGTCTTTTTGTAGATGTTTCTTTTTTTAGTGCTATCTATTATATGTGAAAATGGTTGTTTTCGTAACAGAATTACATTAAAATGTTTCCATGTGCCGATCAGAAGGACTTAATAAATAGGATTTTAGGAACACTTAGCACAACCCACTTCCTTTCTCATGGAATCATGGGCTGATACTGGCGTGCTCCCACCTCCTGTGTTATGCTTTGGGACTTTACTGGCAACCAGAGGAGACAAAACGCTGAAGCTGCGTTGATGGTGGCCCCATACGTCTCAGAGTCAGAGCAGCTGTGATTTCAACACAAAGCTCTCAACGGGACGCATCTGTGAAATCTCTGATGGCCACTATCTTATATGTATCAACTACTAGTAATGGATCGATTGACTCATTCAAATATCTATCTTTTCCATGTTGCATTAAAGGTCACCTATTATGCAACATTCAGTTCCCTCTGTGTAAAGAGATTCTGAAAGTTTCAGGAAAAAAGCTTGTCATCTGAATCTCCTCCTAGAGCACAATTATGTTTTTTTTAACCAAATATCTTGCAGAGGGGGCTCCTTATTTTCATCTAAAGTAACAGACAGAGAATCAGCACTTTTGAAACAGGGCTGAAACAGAGGGGATTATGGGATGCTACATTTGGTATGTTTTGTATATACTGTATATCTGAGATCTATAATATATTGATGAAAAACAGTATAGTAGGGGACCTTTAACTATCAAAGAGTGAATTGATCAAATACATTAAACGTCTTTTCAGGTGACCAGTGTTGTCATCTAGTATAACATCCGACAGAAATGTGGGAATATGACTGAATATAACACAGAAACATCTTCTGGTGTTAGCGTGCCTAACCGCTGATTCTACCATCTGACCTTTGGATGAAGACAGTCTGGTTTCTGTTAGCAGTGTGTCCTCTGCTGCTCGATGCAGATGTGCAGTGAGGCCTTTTAGGAACCCTGACACCCCGCCTCAGTGCCCTACTTCCATCTACTTAGACTGGAAAAAACTCAGATGACCAAGCTTTCCGTAAAACAACAACATATTTCAATCGGAATATGACTTTAGCCCTGTCCCGTTTTACTGCCAGTAGTTTGGGTCGAAGAGAGGGAGAACCGTGAGAGTAGGTAAACCAAAAGGTGTGACCATGTGATCTATAATGAGAGAGATTTGGTTACAAAGAACACAATGGTGCTCTAGGAGGAGATTCAGGTGATAAGGTGGGGGGGGGGGGGGTTGGGGGGTTACCTTGGTTGGTGATTGGCTAATGGTTACACAAGCCAAAACATCGTTATGACATCATAAAGTGGCCGAAATCTGATCGGCTCATTTTCAGACAGGTTTTTATAGAAATGGATCAGGACAAAAAGTGAGAGAATCTTTGTTCCTGAACATTTCAGAATCTCTTTACACAGAGGGGACACATGTTGATGTAGAAGAGACGTGAAGAAGAGGATTTTGCATAATAGGTGACCTTTTAAAATTCACTTGTGATAAGTCAGAGGGAGAAACATGACTCCGCTGGGTTCAGAAGAGTTGACCTCTCTCTGACCTCACCTTGGGACGACCGCCTGAGTAAAACCATCTGTCACTTTCTCTTCTGGTATCTGTCTGCTTCTAATTACTCTCGACATCTCGGCAGGCTAATCAAGAGTCTCTGCAGGGTCAACGAGATCTTTTGAAAGTCCATTACATAGATTCTTATCACAGGTCTAAAAACAGCAATATGTTTGGGATGGCACGACCACATTTTTGTGTTATATTTCAATACTGGACTGTCTATAAACCTCCATTTAACTTTGGATAATACATTTATACTGATGCACTTTCCTATCCATCTTAAAAACATTATGCCTAAACTGAAACAATACGTTACTCTAATTGATGACACACATAGCCAACAACTTGACTCAATTATGCAGAACTGCTGCTTCTTTTTATTAAATCCTCTTCACCACAGAAGTTTAAGCAGCATTTGTATTGACATTTAAAATGAAATTGTAATTGCAACATTGTGCAACCTTTTAAATTGTAGTATTTCATCAAAATACTCAATATAACTCGAGTTAGCCTATCCAGTTGTTGACAGATAGTTGAATGGATGTATACAATTATACTTTACTTGCGCAATTTCTTATCTAGTTATTTTGTGTATGTTAACAAACGGTACTAGATATATTATTGGAATGCTGTATAACATGGGTACTTTATTTACCTGCAACTACAATGTTTGAGAATAAACATATAGGTTTTGGGAAAACATGTCAATTCAAAGACTTTACTTCTACAGACCTGCAATAAAAAAATGTGTGCAACTTTGGGACGATGCATACAGCTTGTTTACACACACTTACTTAGCATTATCAACATTCATTTTAGACCTACAACTAGTCGATTCATTGGTTAGTCGATCCACTGAAAAGTCATTTTTCATTAGTGAAACAGAATATTCCCCACACCACCAGCCTCTTAAATGCAACATGATTTGCTTTTACTTGTCATAGAACTATATATATAAATATTTCTGAACTTTTAAGTCAAGACAAAACATTTGAAGGTGTCACGTTTGCCTCTTTTAAGTCGTATTATGTTGTAAAGGAAAAACATTTTGAGTTTGTGTCGGACATACCGAAATATATTTATAGAGTTGACCCAAGTAATTACTATTTTATTCCATAGTGTGATGTCCATTTATTTTCTCAGTTTCATAAACTTAACGACTTTAATACATCTAGAAACCCCTTTCACATGACACATTGTTATATAAATATCAACTATTGCCACTTTACCATGCAAACAGATGTTTTTGCCTTCTCGTGATGCAACGTCTTTGTCGTGTGGTCTTTCCATTATTTGATTCACTCTTACGTAATCGTCACTATTTTAGAGACCTGTGAGGTAAAGACTGACCAAAGAATGTCCAAAAACCAAGCTGTTGTTTTTCTCCGTCCCCTGAAGGGAAAATTCTCGTTCCTTTCCACGTCAACTCAGGTCAGCAAGTGCAGCGTCGCCCTGCAGCTGCAGCGGGGTCAGTGCCTTGCTCAAAGAACCTTCTGCAGGCTGCCACAGGGAATGAAACAAGGTCGAGACTAAACTAACGCACCGCTGCAGCTCGCTACTGTTTTTGTGACCGCCCGTCACAATAGACACTTTGACAGAAGTGTCTTTCTTAGGTCAAGGTGTTCTGTTTGGTATGTGCTTCAAGAGCGGGTTATGAACGTCTTTCCTACCACAAATTACAATGTCAGCCATCTCAAAATAGTGCAAGTTACTGCAAGTTTGGTAACAATATTTGGAGAACTATCTCTGTGTATCCTGTACTGTGTAATTTGTGGCTGTCACCAATGTGATGCATACTCTGTCTGCCCAACGCACTACTGGTTTTACTTTGGGCATGCACTGACTGTAGTTGATAAACTATGATACATTTTCACTGCTTTTGACCCTTAAGGCAAGGCAAGTGTATTTATTGTTTTCCAAATCCCACTGTGACGTAAGCAGTAGGCCGACTTTGTCTTAATATGACTGCAGATATTCAGGTCAGAGTCCATGACCTAGACCTTTGGCCTTTACCGTGATTTTTAAGACTGCCGATTTAACCTCTTTTCACCCTCTGTCTAAACCTGCTCTGATTGGTTAGCTGGCTTGCTCTGTTGCGATTGGTCAACCACGTAGAGATGTCTCGCCCCTTAGCCTATCACGTACAATGTGTTGGAGCGCTAGCCAATAGCAAAAGCACGAGTGTTAGATAATTACATCATTATGTTACGGTAAGTAAACAAAGGAGTCCAATAGAGGCGTTTCAGGCAGGGGAACTTTTCAGACCATTAACATGCACAAAAACCTCAAATTACAGGATAGGGAAACCCTTAACAGGGCCTCTTTTAAATCACTGTAACAATGGTTTTAGACTAAACACATTTCTGCTTTGTTTTTGCTGCTGTACAGATTCATAGCACCTCTTAAGAGAGCTCTACTCGTTGGTATCCGTCCCTCACAAATGGATCACATTTATTCAAGCTCCAAAACCATGGATCTTAACTTAAATCTGATTCTCCGAAACAGTTACGAAAAAATGTCCTGTTTTTGTTATTGCATTAATTCAGTACAGAAGTCAGCCAAATCAGTTATTTTCAGTGTGTTGTTTCCCATCTGCCAACAGGCTTCATGGATACCTTTTATAGCTGTTGACAATACCATCTCAGCACTTCAGAGAAATGTCTCGCATGCAGAGATTGTGTTGCAGATTCTCGACTGCAGCTGTCTCGAGGTGATGAAACGAAGCGTGTCTTTTTTCACCAGTGAATGGATGAGTGGTGCCCCTCGAAATTCAACTTTATGCAACATGCTTGTTAAATGTGTTCCTCCCTCTATGTACACTTTCTTTACATGATAGTAGTTACAGGCTTCACCTCAAAGGAAGTGTAAAACGTGACACCACCTGTCGTTTTAATAACTAGTCGTGTGTGAGCCCTCGGCAAAGAGCGGCTCGTGCTCGGGAGGCTTTTCTGTTTAAACACCACATGGTAATCATACTGCCACAGGGTTTGTTTTCTAATACAAACTCTAAGGCTAGCTGCACTATCTGCAGCATGAAACATCATTTTAAACAACGCCATGTAGCTTCAGGAAACGCATGGATACCTTATATCTACATATCATATTCTATTTACATGTATATAGACGTTTTGCACTACTTTTTATTTTGTATTTTTGTATTTTATTATATATGTTGGATTGTTGGAGGAGCTCAGGTCATAAGATTGTCATTGCCATTTCACTGTAGCTTTGTGCATATGACAATAAAACCTTTGAATCTTGAATCTATCTATTTCATAATACAATGTCTGCTTTATTACACTTTAAATCAAGTTTTTGTCGAGTGGTGAAGTTGTTGTTTGGTAATTTC